AATGTCCTACGTTGGGACAGGAAGCAATGAGCACAGTTCAGCTATACCGTAACAGCAGGAAACCACTAGTTTGCTGCTCACCGTGGTGTCTTTTCAGCTGGTGTTTTCTCTTAGGATGAAACGTATAAATCCAAAATGTTATCTGAAGTAATCACAAATAATATCATCAAACGAACTCTCTGACTAGAGCCATTGGTCATTAAATTAGCTAGAAACCCAAGAATTTGCTACCTTTCAACAAACTCATATGTTAGTTATGGGAGTTGTTTCACAATCCACCCGAACAAAAAGACTGATAAAGTGAGGTAACAGCAACGGCATCTCACACTTCTTTAGGCCTTAGTCTGAGCCGGGCACTGTCAATGGTTTGCTGATGGATTTTCTCCCCAGATCATTGATGAAAAAACTAAACCGGTTGTAATAATAATTTTAAAAAGGCCCTAACCAGTTTGGTTCAGTGGATAGAGCATCGACCTATGGACTGAAGGGTCCCAGGTTCGATTCCGGTCAAGGGCATTTACCTTAGTTGCGGTCACATCCCCAGTAGGGGGTGTGCAGGAGGCAGCTGATCAATATTTCTCTCTCATCGATGTTTCTAACTCTCTATCCCTCTCCCTTCCTCTAAAAAATCAATAAAATATATATTTAAAAAATGATGCAGTACATGTGACCCCTGCCTTTGATTTATTGAACATCTTTTCCTCCTCTCCTTCTGAATTCTCAGCCAGAGCTCCTGTAACAAGACAGATGAACAGATTTAATGTTTATTTATTTATATTAACTATAAACAATTAAATGCATACAAATTACATAATACAGATATAATTCTATATAAAGTTTATATTAATTTTTACATAAAAGACAGAAAAGCATACACAGTTAATATTAGTGGTAAATGACCTGAGAGCCTTCCAAAAGAAGGCTTTATAATGAAGGCCCGAAGAAACGGTTAAAGGTGAGTGTTTTCATGAGTGTTTGATGAAAAGTGGAGAGTCACAGAAAAATGTGGTGGGACCAAAGGGTTTATGAGCTGAGGGTAGTATGCGGAGGAAATGTAGCAAGGCCTGTTTTTTCAGATTCCTGGTCCCTCGGCTTCTGAGATGAGGACACTCCTTTCCTCTGGCTATGGGAGAGGCTCCTCTCACATGCGGGTTTTATGACCTGCTTCAGGGGAAATCCAAAAGGCCTCTCTTGACCCACTGTTTTCTCAGATTCCGTCAGCGGAAAATACTTAACAGGCCAAGGTGCCTGCCTGATCTGGGGCACCTGAAACCTGGTAGTATCTATGTCAGATGGAGGGGAAAGCTGTGAACCTACAAGTAAGAAAATGGGAAGTAGAAGAACACTACAAATAGAAGTAAAACGGGAAATAGGAGACAGATGGAAATTGCAGTCGTAACAGATGACTGCATCAAGCCGGGAGCTTCACTTAATTGCCTCATTTCATCCTCGCAGCTGCCCAATAAAGTAGATAGTATTATCCCTATTTTACAGATGGAGAAATTGACGCTTGGAGCTTTTAACTCATTTCCCGAGGCCACACAGGTGAAAAAAATGGCACTGCAATTAGAAAGCAAGGTCTGTGTGACTCCAGGGCCCTAGCTCCTAACTGCTGTAAAATACTGCCCGGAAATGCTTGTGATCGCTCACATCCAAACACTTTGGTGAGAAGGGACTGGTGGGAAAGAGGGAGGCTGAACAACTGGAGAGACCAGGCGACAGAAGAGAAAGAAGACTGACTGCAGAGGGCTGTGGAGAAATAAGCCTCAAGTCTACATAAACACCCTGGAAATATTTAGATACCCCAAGGGAGAGATGAGGCCAGGACAGTCACAGATTAGATATAACTGCACGTTCTCTGGGGCGGCTGTGAATTCTCTTTATCCCACGGTGCTGAGGCAGATAGTATCCTCAGGCCAGGGAGGCATTCTGTGTTCTCAGATTGCACTCAGGCAAAGCAGCACATCTAACCAATTATTTTGTTGTTTGGGGCTGGCTGGAACATTGGTTTAGCTCCCTTCCTCTGTTTGAGAAGCTGCAGCAGGGATTAAAGTGGCCTCAGTCTAACAGCAGAGGGAGAGAGAGAGAGAGAGAGAGAGAGAGAGAGAGAGAGAGAGAGAAGGAAAGCTGAATATATCTGGGTGCTGTGTTAAATATTCTAACTATGCAAAACAACTACATTAATCTTGCTTATGGGTCCTCAGTTTTTTCCCCAGAGACAAAAGATAATTTTAAACAGGTAAATCATGACTCATACAAATATGAAATTAATATGTTTCAAAGGTTTTAATTAACTCATTAGTAAATGAGAGAATCAGTAAAAATATTACATGGATTAAAAGGAGCATTCAAAGTATCACACATATATAGGCCATCAAGAATGTTGAAGGGAATTTATAAAGTGTTGCAAAACTGGCCAGTACTCACAAGGCAATAATCAATTGCGTTCTACTAGATACAATTCATTTGTATTTCTGTGGACAAAGATCATTTGCAGAAATATCAACTCATACAACTATAAAATACCTCAGAGACAATGACAGGCAGAGAGAACCTGAAAAGGCACACCAGCTAGGGTGCCCAGGGATCTTCTTGCACATTGTGAAGTCCTTTACAATATTTACTGACAGACCCTAACTATACTGGAAAAAGTTATCCTCCTGCATATGTAGTTCAGTATAAAAAAAATACTAAACCAAAACTCACAAATTTCATAATGAACGTAAAAATAGCTCCTTTCCAGATTTTCTTATTGCATACTTTTAGATGAATCCATGGAAGCTAATGTTTAACTGCTTCTGCTTTACTGTACTAACTTTTGGAATAATACTACTCCCCACCCGTCAACTTAGCTATTGGCCACATTAGTGACATCTGTAATAAAGTTCTCTTATAGGCCAAACCTTAGCACAGGCCAACAGCTGAGTATTAATGAAATAATTCTAAGAAGAAAATGGAGAAACATTATATAGTACTCTCACTATAAATGGGGAAAATATCTGAAATAAAACCCAACCATTAATCATATTTCTCAGAGCACCTGCATATCATAAATCATGTCTTACAGTGTAAGACCACGGTACTGATTTTAGTTCTAATGTTTCACTACAATGTGTCAAAAAGTTGGGCAATGTGGTCCTTTTTAAGCAGTTTAAGATGCCACCTTAAAAACACTTTCAGATGTTTGCTGGGTGTGTTAGTTAAAGAGATAATTGTTATTATTCCATGCAAAATAGCTAATTATATCTAAACAAATTATTTTAAATAACAGTTGCCTAGGGAGCAAGCAGCTCTCTAGATTTGAAAATAAGGTGAGCCCTAGCCGGTTTGGCTCAGTGGATAGAGCTTCAGCAGGCAGACTGAAGGGTCCCGGGTTCGATTCTGGTCAAGGGCACATGTCCAGGTTGTGGGCTCAATCCCCAGTGTGGGGTGTGCAGGAGGCAGCTGATCAATGTTTCTCTCTCGTGGTGTTTCTA